AGCATGGGTTGTGCTTCTTCCCCGAGTGGATGAATCTGATGATTGAAAGAGAATTCAAAGAGAACTCAGTCTAAACTTGGTGAAGGAGCGTCTCTGAGGATGTGAGTGAATTATCTACTACTGTCATCACATCTTCATCAGTGTGATGTTGATTCTGAGATCATTTGAGGCCGAAACATCGAGTCGGACCTCCTTTTAGAGTCTGTGTGTGACGTTAGTACATAAAGACGTACGACGTGGTGTGAAAAACTCGACGCCTCTGACTTTTAAATGATGATTTCAGGCTTTACAGGGCGACTCAGCACCGCACGCTCACCATATTTTAGCCTGTATTTGTTCTCCTCACTCAGTAATGACACTTCTTTCAGTTTTAACAAGAAATTACATCGCGCAGCTTTAAAGAGCCTGTTTGAGGTTTAAGGTAATACAAGGCCATCCGTTTGGATCTCAGTGCGATTTAGGACCTAACATATAGGTTCATTTCTATATTTAGCCAGAATCAGATATTCTAACTCATATATAAAGTTCTAACTTGGCAGACAGAACTGAAAGAAGCACGTCGTGTCTGGTAAGTTGGAATATTATGTTTTGCCCTCTTTTTCCCGCAGTTATTCATCATTCATGAGCTGTGTCAAAAGGAGCAGGAAGTCAATTAGAATGGATGTATTTCTGACTTTGTGGGATGTGACTGGCTCAGAGCCCAAAATCCAAACCGCTCCGATTCTCCGGTGGGAAAAGTCCTCCCTCGGAAGTGCAGAGAAAGAAACAAACAGGAGCTCGATATTGCAGCGTACGCCGATTCCCCTGAGAGGGGTTGCATATCCAGATTGGTCGTTGATATCACTAACTCATTGGTCAATGATATCACTACGACAGCCGGAGGTCAGAAGTACAGAACACATTCGTAACCTTTTGCCTCTTGGCACAAAAATCAATGATGGCAAATTATATTTAGAATTGATATGCAACGCGAGAGCGCTCGGCTCAAATGACGAAGATGATCTAATGTACATCACGGGTCCATTTGTGTTGCTGTTTTTGCCTCTTGTTTTTATTTAGAAAGTAAATCAAACTGGAGATTTGGATCCATAGCGCATGACTTCTTTAGACATTAGGCTGTGAAAAAGAGATTTTCCAGGTTGTTGGCAAATGGCCTACAATGCCCCCGCACCACAGATTAGTGGAATAAACACAAGGATGTGAAAGTAAAATGACTTTTAATTAGTCTTGAATTCATAGCTCATAGTAAAATCCATAAATAAAGAACATAAGAAATGTTTCATCCATTTTTAGCAGAAAACTGAGTTTGGACATGCTCACCTCTGCCTCTGGGCTGGGTTGCCAGGTACCACAACACATATCCCACACAGAATCTGAGTTTTTTATTTGTATTACTATGAAATCAGGAGATTAACGGGATAAATTAATTGTCAGGAACACAGCGGGAGAAAGGATTAAGAATAGGGAGACCTCCGTGAAAATCGGGAGTGTTGGTGGATGCACAATTAGGGCTGCACAATGTATCATTTGTTTATCAGTATCACAATATTGACCTTTGCAGTACAGCTGCAATATGCAAATGAGCCCTCTAACCAATCACACTTTGGATAATCGACTACATTTGGGGTAAAGAAAAACCTGTGGATTCATTTTTTGCCCAACACATAATTTGAAAGTCGTACATTTTGGGCAAAATCTAGAGTGATAGCATTCAGTTTCAACCAGCATTGAGAAAGGTTTAGTTAAAGCTGCACTGTGTAAGATTTGGGGATTTGGAGACCTCTGTGGTGGAAATTTGTAATTGCACGCATTGTAAGTGGATTGTGTTTCGGAGAAGCTTTTTACTATGTGTTGTGAACATGTTGACCAATCGCAGCTCCAGATGATGGCCTTGTCTGTGGCCTTGTTTTTGTTCTGAAGGAATTCACATGATTACTTTTAGTGAAATGAATACAGACCAATCATTAATCATGTTACATCAAGGCTTCACCATTATGTTTTAATGTTGTAAAATGCACTACAGTACTGTGAAAAAGTCAGAGACCACATTTCAGTCATTTAATTTTCAGTTAAAACAGATATTAAGCACGAGTTATTCATTTTTCATCATTGGGGAAAAAAGTGTCAGTGAGTCACTCTTTCCCTTTATTCCAGCTTCCATTCTTTTCAGGAGACTCACTTTCAGTTCCTCAAAGAATCTGCAGACACGCCTCCAAAGTTCAGTCTTAGACGTTGGTTTATCTTTTTCTGCTTCTCACCGTCCAAGTGATCCCAAGTAAACACAAATTTAGACTCAGCCTTTTATAAACTCTTACTTCACGTATCAGACGTCCAGTTTTGGTGTTTCGGTGCAAATGTTCTTCTTCTGTGTCTCTTTTTCTCAGTAACAGCTTCTTGACAGATATGCATCCTTATATTTAGTTGTTGAGGCTTCTGTATCATTTTCTGTTGAACACGTTTTCTGCTTTTTCCTGACGCTGAAAAATGAACAACATGTACTTAGAGCAACACTGTGTAAGCTTTGGGGATTTGGAGACCTCTCTGGTGGAAATGTGTATCTGCATGCAACGTGCAGAAGAGAATTCAAAGAAAACTGAGTCTAAACTTGGTGAAGGAGCATCTTCTGAGGATGTGAGCAAATTATCTACTATTGTCATCATATCTTCATCAGTATGATGTTGAATTTGAGATCATTTGAAGCCGAAACATCGAGCCGGACCTCCTTTTAGGGTCCGTGTGTGGTGTTAATACGTAAAGACGTACAACGTGGTGTGAAAAACCCCGACACCTCTGACTTTTAAATGATTTCAGGCTTTACAGGGCGACTCACAGCAGCTCACACTCACCATATTTTAGTGTGTTATTTTTCTCCAAGTCTTCTTTCAGGTTTAACAAAAAATCTTACATAGTGTTGCTTTAATGGCCATTTGACTAGAAATTACAGAAAGTAAAGGGTGTTTTGCAGAATTATGAATATCCAAAATATTTGTAGACTCTATCAAATCCTCACAGCAATGTTGGAACATTTGATTGAGCATTAGTGAGGTCAGGTACTGATGTTGGATGGTCAGTTCTGGATCACTCCAACTCATCCTAAAGGAACTAGATGGAGCTCCATCATTCCAAAGAACACAGGTCCACTGCTCCACAGCCCTATGCTGGGGGGCTTTATACCCCTCTAGCCTACGCTTGGCATTGGGCATAGAGACCTTAGGATCATGTGCAGTTCCTCCAGACCGTCCCATTCTATTGGTCTGTGCTTTTCTTTTGAGTGGCTGAATCAACTCACATATTGTGACTGTATCTAAAGGAGATCATCCATATAATACAGGCCCCCTTATATTTAATTAAATAAATAAATAGTGGCACTGACAAAATAATTGTAAGCACATTTATTGTGCATTGCGCCTCATGTCACATTCCCTATCGTCCAGTTCCACAATAAGCCCTCAAAAAACACCCTGAAACAAAAACGACTCTTTGTCAAAAGCTCTCTCCCCAAAGACATCACAGCAGCTTTGAAGAGAGCAGCTCTGTTGGCGTCTATAGACTTTTTACTCCTTTTATTCTTTTTTTTTCTCTGCCAAAGCTCGACCGCTGGGAGACTTTTTGATTTTGCCTTTGTGCCACAGATGTGACCTGCGTTTCTGTTCCGTTTCTCCGTGGGGGCACGGCGGAATGAGGGATGATTTTTAATGACATAATGAAACGCTCTTCTACGGCTTAGCGAGGAGCCTTTGTTAAAGGGGATTATAATGGGGAAAACCACGGTCAGCAGCGCCGTCCGCTAAAAACGCCACACGGAAATTGGAAATTAATGGCCAGATGAGTAATCGCAACAGATGAGTAATCGCAGATTCCAACCTGGACAGAAAGGCTTGTAGATCAGACGTTACATTAAAGTGGACGTGGATGGTCAGGAGGCCGGCTTTAACTTCAAAAGAAATCTTAATAGTGAGAAGATTTTTATGTTTTTATGTTTTTTGCAAAAACACCAAGGTCTGTCAGTGTGTGAAGCAACTGAACATTGAAATGCTTCAGCTTCTGTAGAGCCGGATACACTTGTAGCAGTACCACCACCCAAATATCTCTTTGGCAGTGGTGCTATGGTGGTCTCATTTCAGTGCTGAATAGAGATGAGGGGGGGCTGATAAACTGAAGCAACAGATGGGCTACAGTTTTTACATGTACACCGATCAGGCATAACATTCTGACCACCTCCTTGTTTCTACGCTCATTGTCCATTTTATCAGCTCCACTTACTATATAGGTGCACTTTGTAGTTCTACAGTTACAGACTGTAGTCCATCTGTTTCTCTGATACTTTGTTAGCCCCCTTTTACCCTGTTCTTCAGTGGTCAGGACCCCCATGGACCCTCACAGAGCAGGTACTATTTGGGTGGTGGATCATTCTCAGCACTGCAGTAACACTGACGTGGTGGTGGTGTGTTAGTGTGTGTTGCGCTGGTCGGAGTGGATCAGACACAGCAGTGCTGCTGGGGTTTTTAAACACTGTGTCCACTCACTGTCCACTCTATTAGACACTCCTAAGTGTCAGTCCACCTTGTCCTGCACAGTTTGTGTTGGTCATCCTCTAGTCCTTCATCAGTGGTCACAGGACGCTGCCCACAGGACGCTGTCTGCTGGATATTTTTGGTTGGTGGACTATTCTCAGTCCAGCAGTGACACTGAGGTGTTTAAAAACTCCAGCAGCACTGCTGTGTCTGATCCACTCAGACCAGCGCAACACACACTAACACATCACCACCACGTCAGTGTTACTGCAGTGCTGAGAATGATCCACCACACAAATAGTACCTGCTCTGTGAGGGTCCATGGGGGTCCTTCTTTTGAAAGGAGCAAGTAAAGCAGAATGCTAAAGATATAGATATACTATATCTATATATACTAAATTACATATAACAGTCGCATAATCCTCATATTTTTTCATTATCTGAAGCAGCTCGGTTCAAATTATGTTCTTCTCTTTACTCCTTCAGGTGTAAGTGTAACCTCCACGCCAACAGCTGTGTGTTTGAGAAAGGAAAGCTGAGCTGTGAGTGTGAGCACAACACCACGGGGCCGGACTGCTCACGCTGTAAAAAACACTACCAGGGCCGAGCGTGGAGCATGGGCTCCTACCTGCCCATCCCTAAAGGCACCGCCAATATCTGTGAGTACAACAGCATCACTGACCTACACTAATCACACTCACCATCACTGACCTACACTAAACACACTCACCATCACTGACCTACACTGACCTACACACTCACCATCACTGACCAACACTAAACACACTCACCATCACTGACTTACACTAAACATACCCACCATCACAGACCTACACTAAACACACTCACCATCACTGACCTACACTAAACACACTCACCATCACTGACTTACACTAAACACACTCACCATCACTGACTTACACTAAACACACTCACCATCACAGACCTACACTAAACACACTCACCATCACTGACTTACACTAAACACACTCACCATCACTGACCTACACTGACCTACACACTCACCATCACTGACCAACACTAAACACACTCACCATCACTGACTTACACTAAACATACCCACCATCACTGACCTACACTAAACACACTCACCATCACTGACCTACACTAAACACACTCACCATCACTGACTTACACTAAACACACTCACCATCACTGACTTACACTAAACACACTCACCATCACAGACCTACACTAAACACACTCACCATCACTGACTTACACTAAACACACTCACCATCACTGACCAACACTAAACACACTCACCATCACTGACCTACACTAAACACACTCACCATTACTGACCTACACTAAACACACTCACCATCACTGACCTACACTGACCTACACACTCACCATCACTGACCAACACTAAACACACTCACCATCAGTGACTTACACTAAACACACTCACCATCACTGACTTACACTAAACATACCCACCATCACTGACTTACACTAAACATACCCACCATCACTGACTTACACTAAACACACTCACCATCACTGACTTACACTAAACATACCCACCATCACTGACTTACACTAAACACACTCACCATCACTGACTTACACTAAACAAACTCACCATCACTGACTTACACTAAACATACCCACCATCACTGACTTACACTAAACACACTCACCATCACTGACCAACACTAAACACACTCACCATCACTGACTTACACTAAACACACTCACCATCACTGACTTACACTAAACACACTCACCATCACTGACCTACACTAAACACACTCACCATCACTGACTTACACTAAACATACCCACCATCACTGACTTACACTAAACATACCCACCATCACTGACCTACACTAAACACACTCACCATCACTGACTTACACTAAACATACCCACCATCACTGACTTACACTAAACACACTCACCATCACTGACTTACACTAAACATACCCACCATCACTGACTTACACTAAACACACTCACCATCACTGACTTACACTAAACACACTCACCATCACTGACTTACACTAAACACACTCACCATCACTGACCTACACTAAACACACTCACCATCACTGACTTACACTAAACACACTCACCATCACTGACTTACACTAAACATACCCACCATCACTGACTTACACTAAACACACTCACCATCACTGACTTACACTAAACACACTCACCATCACTGACTTACACTAAACATACCCACCATCACTGACCTACACTAAACACATTCATCATCACTGACCAACACTAAACATACCCACCATCACTGACTTACACTAAACATACCCACCATCACTGACTTACACTAAACACACTCACCATCACTGACTTACACTAACCACATTCATCATCACTCACCTACACTAAACACACTCACCATCACTGACTTACACTAAACATACTGACCTACAATAAACACACTCACCATCACTGACCTACACTAAACACACTCACCATCACTGACTTACACTAACCACATTCATCATCACTGACCTACACTAAACACACTCACCATCACTGACTTACACTAACCACATTCATCATCACTGACCAACACTAAACACACTCACCATCACTGACTTACACTAAACGCACTCACCATCACTGACCAACGCTAAACGCACTCACCATCACAGACCTACACTAAACACACTCACCATCACTGACCTACGCTAAACACACTCACCATCACAGACCTACACTAAACAAACTCACCATCACTGACTTACACTAAACACACTCACCATCACAGACCTACACTAAACACACTCACCATCACTGACTTACATTAAACACACTCACCATCACAGACCTACACTAAACACACTGACCATCACTGACCTACACTAAACACACTCACCATCACTGACTTACACTAAACACACTCACCATCACTGACCTACACTAAACACACTCACCATCACTGACTTACACTAAACACACTCACCATCACTGGCTTACACTAAACACACTCACCATCACAGACTTACACTAAACACACTCACCATCACTGACCTACACTAAACACACTCACCATCACTGACCAACACTAAACAAACTCACCATCACTGACTTACACTAAACACACTCACCATCACTGACCTACACTAAACACACTCACCATCACTGACTTACACTAAACACACTCACCATCACTGACCTACACTAAACACACTCACCATCACTGACCTACACTAAACACACTCACCATCACTGACTTACACTAAACACACTGACCATCACTGACCTACACTAAACACACTCACCATCACTGACTTACACTAAACACACTCACCATCACTGACCTACACTAAACACACTCACCATCACTGACCTACACTAAACACACTCACCATTACTGACTTACACTAAACACACTCACCATCACAGACTTACACTAAACACACTCACCATCACTGACCTACACTAAACACACTCACCATCACTGACTTACACTAAACACACTCACCATCACTGACCTAGACTAAACACACTCACCATCACTGACCAACACTAAACAAACTCACCATCACTGACTTACACTAAACACACTCACCATCACTGACCTACACTAAACACACTTACCATCACTGAGCTACACTAAACACACTCACCATCACTGACCTACACTAAACACACTCACCATTACTGATTATTGAGTTCATGTAAACACACTCACTGATTTTGCGGGCCAGATTTAAGGATGGCAGAATGTATGAAGGTGTCCACGTGGGATTGTAATTTTGGGACCACTACTATGAAGCGATCAAGTCATGAAATTTTGTATAGTTATATCTCGGATGAACATCTAATGGTTGCAATTTGAGCCTTTTGATTTCATGTCATTTGCAAATTACAATTTTCTAAAATTTTGATAAAAATCAGTAGTTACATGTGACCAATAGGCTAAATCTAGGTGATAAAAGCTCACTTTTTAGTCATGATTTGATCTGTATGAATTTTGCATCAGATGTGTGATCAGAGAACATGGGGCCAACATAAATTTAGCATTTTAGAAATGGACATTAACAAGGTAATCTACGAATTTTCACAAAACTACGCCTTTGTTAGATCACATTCTTATAACAGCACTGAGATCCTGTTATCATAGAAAAGTGGAATAAACAGCAGAAATAGCTGCTCTTTCTTGCTGGTCTTTAAGGGTTAATGGAGGTGTTGAGGGAGGTGGAGTCGTATCCTCGGGCTTCAGGCAGGAGGCTCATTGCCTTAATAAATCTAATGCAGTCAGTAAGTGGAGCTCAGGGAGCGAGGCAGGCTCAGTCTGGGCAGATGGAGGAACTCAGCGCCTGCTCAGACCTGCAGCCAGGAGCGTGAAGCCTGGCCCATATGCTTCTGCACGCACAGCTGCAGGCTGGGCTAAAGGAGCGTTACAGCGTTTCCAGCCTGATCTCTATCTGCTGCATTTCTATCTACCTAATAACGCAAAACTCAAGTACCTTAGACGCCACTGTAAGCTTTTAACAATAGAAGAACTTGGTGCTGTATAGAACCATATTCAACACATTCTCCATCAATCTGAACAACCACTTCACCATTTAACCCACTATTGCACACATTATGAGATCAGTTGTTTAATAAAATGTTTGAATCTGTTTTCTTGCATAAAATTGAACTAATTATTTAAATCAAAGACAAGATTTATTAAATAATGTGTGCAGAGGTCCTTTTGTGGTATGTTGCCTTGAGGTAACGTTGTGCGAATCTATCTATAAAATCTATTTTTTTCTATTTTTATTTACACAAATAACTATTTGAACCATTCTAAAAATTAAAAGGAATCAGTTCATTTTCAAGCACTTCTCTCCCACAAAAAAAAAATAAAAACCAAAATTGATGGACCATAAAACACAATGAACGCTGAATGCTACATTACAGAATTAACTGGAATGGTCTTCTAGACCATACACAATAACAAAAAATATTCTAAAATAAAAAAAAAATCGAAACGAATAACTAAACAATGACTGCAGTGCTCCTTCAAGTGGTTGAATAAGAGATTCCTCACTTGCTACTAACTAATTTATTACCCTGTTAATGTTGCTTGTAGGGAACAAGCATGTTTAAACTCATCATCATCATCATCGTTAACCGCTTAGTCCAGATAGGGTTGCGGTAGCAGTTGGGAGAGCAGAGAACCTGGAGAGAGAACCTCCTTACCTGGAGTGGGCATGCCACCCTTTTCCGGGCTAAGACCATGGACTCAAACTTGGAGGTGCTGATCTGCATACCAGCCGCTTCACACTCTGCTGCAAACCGCTCCAGTGAGGACTGGAGGTATCCATGCGATCCAGCAAAAGAACAACATCGTCTGCAAATAGCAGAGATGCCACCCACCGGCCTCCACACATAATGCCCTCCTGACCCCGGCTACGCCTTGACACACTGTCCATGAATATCACGAACAGGAGTGGAGACAGGGCACAACCCTGGCGGAGTCCAACGCTAACACCGAAAGAGTCCGACTTAATGCCGAGTATACGAACACACTCTCACTCCGGGCGTACAGAGATTGAATGGCCCGAAGTAGTAGCCCCAGCACCCCATACTCCCGGAGGATCTCCCACATGATATCTCAGGGAACACGGTTGTAAGCCTTCTCCAAGTCCACAAAACACATGTAGAC